CCTACCCCTAAGATCCTTCTTCCTCCCCCCTCCCCTCCCCCCCTTTACCTATCCCTCATCCCTACCCCTAAGATCCTTTTCCGTCTTGTCCCTCGCGTCCTTCCCCCGTACGGCTACCCCGCTTCAGCCCCTCTTCCAGCGCCCTTGTTCTGTTGTTATTTATGCAAGGCCAAGAGGAGGAGGAGGATCCTTCCAGCTCTCTCTCTCTCTCTGTCTTCCCTTTTTTTTCTCTTTTCTCTTTTCGCTTTATTTCTTTCTCCCTCTGTCTTCTCTGTCTGTCTCTGTCTCTGTCTCTGTCTGTCTCTCTCTCTGTCTCTGTCTCTCTCTCTCTCTCACTCTCTCACTCTCTCACTCTCTCACTCTCTCACTCTCTCACTCTCTCTCACTCTCTCACTCTCACTCTCTCACTCTCTCTCTCTCTCTCTCTCTCTCTCTCTCTATGTCGTTAATTATACAAAATGACACCTTTGTGTAAAGGAAAACGATACCAAGGGCATGAGATTGCAATATAGAAAGTGACGAAAATGTTCCTACTGTCCCAAGTTCTTGCACTGCCAGTTTTTAATTAAGAAATAGCTTATGTAACTGAGATGTGTAATTAGTCTTTGACCCGTATTAAAACTATAATTTGGTTGAAAGCGCATTAACTATTGAAATTATCTCCGAGAATGCGAACGTGTTAGTTAGCTGAATGTTTCCCACCAAGCAAGAGCTGTGCAACAAATTATCTGTTATTCGCTGTGAAGTTGTACAGGCAATTGATAAATACCAGATTTCGAAGCCGAATTTATTCACTCATATAATATTTTGCAATTTCCTTTTAATAAGGCATTGACATTTCTGTATTCTCTGCCTTCTTTAGACCACTACAAGATGGACTAGCAGAGAGAACGACACTGGTGATCCTCGTAGAAAGCGTAGAACCGGAATTATCTTGCATATTTTCAATTCACTGAGAGAGACGGAGGGGGAGGGAGAGAGGGAGAGGGAGGGGGAGGGAAGGAGAGAGAGAGAGAGAAGGGAAAGGAGAGGTAAAGGAAGAAACAGAGACTGAGACAGACAGTGCGTATCTTGAGAGAGACACTATCATGATAAGAACCTCCTCCAGGCACAGGAAGTGAACGTGGCCATCTTCACGACCTCATATGTGCTTAGTATTCCCCCTGCGAATGTATAGGACCCATTTGCATTGTCATGTTTTGGCCATATATCAGTAACCTGTTGCCCTTGACGAAAACCAGTAGGATCACCGGGTTGGGCGCCATATGATCAGAATGAGTTGGTATTTTCTCTATCTAACTATCTGTCCATTTGTCTGTCTATCTATCTCTCTATCTGTCTATCTGTCTGTCTATCTAACTATCTATCTATCTGTCTATTTGTCTATCTATCTATCTGTCTATTTATCTATCTGTCTGTCTGTCTATCTAACTATCTATCTATCTGTCTTTGTCTATCTATCTGTCTGTCTATCTGTCTGTCTATCTATCTATCTATCTATCTATCTATCTATCTATCTATCTATCTATCTATCTATCTATCTATCTATCTATCTATCTATCTATCTGTCTGTCTGTATATCTATCTATCTATCTGTCTGTCTATCTGTCTATCCATCTATCTATCTGTCTATCCATCTATCTATCTGTCTATCCATCTGTCTATCCATCTATCTATCTATCTATCCATCTATCTATCTGTCTATCCATCTATCTATTTGTCTATCCATCTATCTGTCTATCCATCTATCTATCCATCCATCCATCCATCCATCTATCTATCTCATTCCATTCCTAGTACCAGTGATTATCAATGTTATTATGTACATTTGTTAAGTTCACTTGATGTACGTTACTTTAACGCTCCTACATACCTATAAAAGCAAGTAAAAGTTCCATATAACTTTTGCAAAGTCTTACTTTATACCAGTTCAAGTTTACAAACTTTTCATCTAGGGTACATCTATTTGAATAGCTGTATTCATCGTGTTGAGAAATATAACATTTGTCATGAATCACTATGTTCTGAGTTCACCAGGCATTTTTTAATAACATTTCAAATACTAATCTTTTTTTTTCATGAAGTATATTCAGCTGCTTGATATTAATTCCTTTAATATTACGTACAAGTTATTTTCTTTCCTATTCTGCGTTTTATGGTATATTAAGAATTGAGTTACACATTAATATTGCAACATGGAGTCTGCAAAGTCAATCAGTTGTGATTCATTTTCCTTATATAGCACTTTTTTTTTCTGTTGTTTTATTATATTATTCTCACTAATTTATTGTTTCCAAATTTGCAATATCACGATTCCCATTTCTGCAAAGAAATTCATCCTTTTTGTTTTCTAAGCAATCTCCACTATTATTATCACAACATACACACAACCTAGCAATAATAAAACCAAAAAAAACAAATCACAGAAGTAAGAACCATCAATTCTGTAAAAATAATCCTTAAATATAAGTTACCAGAGATTGAGGATGCACCTGCTTTCCGTGTGCCTTGTTGAATAGGGTATGACGCTTTCTTTTACGTCTCTCGTGTCCTGGAAGAGGTCTTAGCCTTGGGACACTTCCTGTGATGCCTTTGTTAAGGTAATTGTCTTTTTCCTCGTTTTCATTACAATATTTTACATTGTCTTCTTCCAGAGTAATATATGACTATCTCTTTCTTTGTGTGAAAAAAGAAATCAATCATGCTGTGGTTTCAGCCAGACTGCATTAGTTTCCTCTTTTTTGGTCGGTATTCTTGTGTATGTGTGTATATATATATGTATATATATATATACAATGTGTGTGTGTGTCTGTGTGTGTCTGTGTGTGTCTGTGTGTGTCTGTGTGTGTGTGTGTCTGTGTGTCTGTGTATATATGGATATATGGATATATGTATATATGTATATATGGATATATGGATATATGGATATATGGATATATGGATATATGGATATATGGATATATGGATATATGGATATATGGATATATGAATATGTGTATATATGTATATATGTATATGTGTATATATGTATATGTGTATATATGTATATGTGTATATATGTATATGTGTATATATGTATATGTGTATATGTGTATATATGTATATGTGTATATATGTATATGTATATATGTATATGTATATGTATATATGTATATATGTATATATGTATATATGTATATATATGTATATATATGTATATATATGTATATATATGTATATGTATATATGTGTATATATATATATATATGTATATATATATATATATGTATATATATGTATATGTATATATGTGTGTATATATATATATATATATATATATATATATATATATATATATATATATATATATATATATATATAAACCCTAGTTATCATAATCTCATAATGCACAAATTTCCATTTCAGTCATCTATGACATATCACCCTTTTCAAAAAATAATCAATAGTTAGTATGTATAAATGTGTGTGTGTGTAAGTTATCATATAAAGAAATTTAAAATAAAACAAAGTCAAAAATTTAGAAAATGTATTAACAAAATAATTCACACTTCATATAGGTACATCATAATCACAGATTTTCATGTGCTGTGCGAATAACGCTTTACATTTGTCATATTAAAAGGGTAGGTGTAAAACATCAGAAGTCACAGAACATCTTTTAAAATAGACAATGACTAAGCAAAAAAAAAAGGAATAGACACCTCCATTAATAATCAAAACTGGTATGTTACATGTAACTTCAGTCAATTTTTACTGATATACTAATATACAGAATATCAAAATTGAAAATATACTTAGTAATAATAATGAAAAAAATACAAGGAAAAATATTAACTCAATCATTTCCTACAATAAAAGCAGAATTCATTCTGAATATCCGATAGCAGTCCATATAAAAAATATCTCCTTCCTTAAATCAAGATATATACTAATGTATGAATACTGAAATATCCTTTCATAGACAACACCATTAATTTCTTTTCTTCTTATAAAGATCCTTATTACCATTATCCTCACCATTTCTTTCCCCTTTTCTTCTTTCAAATTCAGTTCATTGTAACATACAAGCTAACAAGCCTTCTCCAAATATAGCAAGACAGTTATATTTACGCAATATATAATAATTCACAAAACAGATATTACATTAGTTCAGACACTGAAAGGCATAAAAACGAAATGTTTATGCCCTGATAACATTGAGAGCTGATTCACATTAATCAAAATGCAAAATACAGTAATGCAATGTGACTGGATATCTGATCAGTTACTGCTTTTAATTTACTAAGCATATTGCATTTAACAACTTCTGAAATATAATCAAGGATAATTACACGGGGTAAAAAATAAACAAATAGAGTGATAATACATATATAAATCTATATAAAATTGCTTTTTAAATTCTTACAACAGCTTAAACATCTGGAAGGCTACATTTACAGCTATAACAGCAATTAGTATAGACAAGCATGTTCTGCGCCTTTTCTTAGCTCGAGGATCCTCTTCATTGTGCAAGATGACATGTTCTTGCTCTACATTACCATGTAGATTGCTCCCGACCATGTCATCCTGCAGTTCCACGGTAAAAACATGAGGTATAAAAGTTGAAGGTATCGCATTCTGTGGCACAGCAGGCATCACATTTGTCAGTGGGCCGTTATTCTCTCTCTGGGGGGGCACAGGCCGCAAACTACAGTTGTAGCATGGCAAGCCTGAATAACCGCAGCCGGGAAGACAGTCTGGGCCTCCTGGTGGGATGTGTGGGGGGAGTCCTTGCACGCCGGGTTGCGAGGCTCCAACTCCCACGCTGGACTGGACAGGAGGACTTGGCTGAGAGTCTTGAGTGGCTATGAAGGGCTCTGCGAGTGGGTGGTAAAGCTGCTTATGACATTCACAGGGACATTCGTTTACAGTGTCTGTGGACTGGTTCTCCACATTATCGACAACTAGCTCTGTTACCTTTTTACCACAGCGGACACACACCTCACTGCATGGATACTCTG